AGAATGGCAACAGCGGTTAAACTACCCATCAGTTGGTGTAGAACATCCTTGTTCGGTGGCTTGCTGTGCTGACAATTGCGTAATGATTTTCACATTGGGGTGTCGCATTGGCGCCAGCTTTCATAGCAAAGTATCACTTTTTAAAAGGGTTGTGCTCAATCTCCCGTAGCCAGTCACCAGGGTGAGCAAAATCCAGGATCGATGGCGAGTTACGCAACACCAACCAGGAGTTGAAGTGAAAAACGGTGGTTTTTGCTACAAAACATTCAGGCTTGTCTGAAAATGGCTACATTGGATCATTAAATTCATCTTATTCCCCGAAATTTTCAATCAAACATATTGAAGCTATACCATCATCGACGGGAAATCCAGCATTTAGTTTGATGATTTTACCATTAAATTTCCATTTATAATGGCCTTTTCTATGTTTCCCCATGCTTTTCTTATATTCTCTCATTAAAATCATCCGTTTATGGTGGGTTTTCCCATTTTCCCATGAACTTCTCAACGATTTTCTCATTAAAACAAACCATTGTTTTGATGTCACCCAAGGGGCCCTCCGCCGGGAGACGTCGCGCGCCTTCAGCACATGACGCAGGTCTCTGAAACCCAAACGGCCCTGGCCCTTAGGCAGCTGCGCTTGGTAGTACCTCGCCATCTAAGCTCGAAATGTCCAGAAAAAAATTGCGGGATTTTTCATGGGTTTACTCAACAATAAATATGTTCTGTTGGGATCCTTTTCCCTGAACTAGGGTTGAAAACAAAACCCTTCAAAACCACCAAGAAAGCTTGGACAATAAATGTGTTGTTTTTTTTTTCATGGGGGTTTGGTTTAACCAACATGGTTATGGGCTCAACATGTTTAACATTCTTGATCGTATCACCCTTTATGGTTTAACATGTTTATATAATCAACAATAAATGGGGGTTTCCTGAAATGAGACTCCAATAGCTGCATGGTTTATACTAGAAATTCCGATTGAAATTGATGATTTGGGGGTATTCCATTTCAGGTAATCAACGATAAACTTCAACAACTAGGATCATCTAGGGTTCGATCGGGAATATATATGGGAATGCAATGATTTAATGGGATAATCAAACATGGCCGGAAATGGCAGCATAAGTTGATGAGTTTTGGCATGTTATGTTCTGGTTACTTTATCCCGATATCCCATGAATTTCATGATATCCCGGTATAATCCCACAGGTTCATTCTGGGGTGTCCTTAAGGAACATACCAAAAACTACCAACCGATTCGCTATAGATTCTCTCAGAGGTGGATTTTCCATTGGGGAAAACATCATCAGCAGATCCAAGAAAATCGCGTGATTCAGCTCCCGATGTTATGACCTATGATAAACTGGTTGCTGGTTGAGCCACCCCTCTGAAAAATATTACGGAAAAATAGAATTCAGGTTCCAAACCACCAACCAGTAAATGTAGAAAATGGTGATGTCATGTGATGTCCCAATAGTGAGAATAGTGATCTGTTACCCATATGACAATCACTTGGAGTATTTTGGCCAAGTTTGGACAGACGTGACTGGCCCCAGGCAAGGCAAGTGAGCAATCTGCGTAGAAAACATCGCCAGAAACCACCAAGGATGAGGACAACTGACAATTCGAATGGATACTCAATGCCAGCGAAGGTCCCCCAACGTTGCAGTCATCTGTCCTTTCCGCATGGAACTACGCCCCCCCAAGTGCTAAGAAAAGTCACCCCATTTTTTTTGCCCATTGTAAACGCAGCACGAAAATGAACAAGCACAAAAAAACTATCATCCCAAATGTGCAAATCACCATGAGAACGCAGGCCAGCATCTACTGTAATTAGATGAATCGATGCAACTACTCTAGAAAGGCACCCCCTCGGCAGGGCGACATGTAAACACGTGACTGGATTTGCCCGAAGGTCACATGAATGAGCCAAGCATGACAAAAAAACAAGTTCACCAGTGTAAACACACGCTAAATAAAGCAAAAATTACTTCTAAAGCATCGTTTTCTATCTTACGCAACTGCTCCACAGCAAGTAAACGCATGTTGGGGCGACTTTCCCGGGAAGTCCCCCCCAACTAAACGCAAGATTTTGGATCGGGCGGGGTGAGTTCACTATGATCGAGTAAATCATCTACTTTCATTCTCCATCCATTACAAACTGTTAAGTTAGAAACTATGAATGTATCTATTTTTTCTTCTGCTCAACCCATCCGCGGGATCCAAAGCACACATTTGGACGTTCTGAGCACTTGGTGGCGATCTTGCGGATGTCAGGGTTCGAGAGAACCTGGTACAAAGGCAGCTTAGGTGCCACAAATTGGTTGGGAGATGTGCGTAGAAACAAGGCATTCGGGTAATATAATGCTAAAAACCACCCATTTTGGGAATGGTTTATACCACCTATAAAAATGGTGATGACTGGGGGATGGTAAGCATGGCATTGTTTTACCGACAGTACCATTATTTGGTGAAGGGAAGCACGGCAGGATGATTGAGAGATAGATTTTCTTCCACTCCTGGGTACGCAAAGATTTCCCCAGTGCCCATGAAGAGGGTTAAATGGGCGGGTATTTGTTGGGCAGTGGGCAGAATTGAACTCGGTTTCATCGATTTTTCATTAACATATTGGATTGCCTTAAGAGTAATTAAGCACGCATGACATGGCTGGTTGGTGGTATACCTACCCCCCTGAAAAATATTAGTCAGTTGGGATGGTTATTCCCAATATATGGAACTGTATGATAGAATTATGGCTGCCAAAAAGTAATGCTGGGATAGATAGATAGAAATAGAAACAATGACATGGGTAACCCTATCGTCACGTTACGACGATATCTTGATCCAACATTCGTGAGTTGTGAACATCGCTACTCCTACAATCCTGCAACGCTGATCACTTTTTTAACGGGCATCATATCCCCAAAATGGCACACATGTGCAGGTCATAAACCGTGTCTGGTTGGTGGTATACCTACCCCTCTGAAAAATATGAGTCAGTTGGGGTTATTATTCCCAATATATGGAAAAATAAAATTCATATTACAAACCACCAACCAGGTGTCTATACCAATTTGGGATCACTAAGATCACTATTGCTATTTTTGATCCTTAACTGCCGAGTTAAAAGCCATTCTTTGATGCTCAGGCCCCCTCCCTCCACCAAGCTGTATGGAGGGGGTTCCCTCTTCTCCAGCAGGACCAGGGAAACATGCAGCTAGCTATTTATATAGTGAGATCGGCTAATAGCCACCAAGATGGTGACTAAATTGGGGTTAATACTTGGAGGACCATCCCACTTAGTAAGTGCTTACTGACCATAGTTATAAGCCACTTAAAGGTGGGACAACCAACAAAATGGGGACTTTAACTCACACCATGGGTATTAACCACTGAGGACCGTGGGATGGTTTTCCGAGTAGTGATTGCTTCAACTGGTGGTGTACCTACCCCTCTGAAAAATGATGAAGTTTGTCAGTTGGGATGATGGCATTCCCAATAAAATTCATGTTCCAAACCAACAACCAGTCATAACCATGGCTATGATCATGGGATTGTAACCTCCATAAGTTGGAATATAAGCCAACTTTGGGTGAAATCTCCAATTATCAATGGGTAAATCAACTATATCCCAATATTGAACAGCTATAACCCAATTTACCCATTCATTTATCCCAATTTTTTCATGGTGAAATACAACTGGTTGAATAGCCAAACCACCAACCAGTCATCCATATCCCCAATGATCTCCACCATGAAACCCATGTTGTTTTTGCGCGCTTGCGAGCAAGCGCACAAAAACGATTCCTGTGATCCAAGTAAGCGATTTGTTAGTACTTGTTTTTCCCCATTCTATTCCCATGTCATACTGGTAAACTAACAGTTTGCGACCTGGAAAATCACCGTTTTCAATGTGTAAATCAACTATAAATCACGATATTTTCAATAGCAAATGGTATAAATCACTATAAATCACTATAAATCACGATATTTTCAATGGGTGAATAGCGTTTACGATGTTAAATTGCCAGATGGTATCCCATGTTTGCCATCCGCCAGAGATCCGTGCGCCTCCAAGAGCTCTCTCCTCAGGGCCCGGGACATCGAAGAGGCCTGGAAGGATGATGATTAATACACCCCAAACGGCTGTTTGATTGGGGAGGTACCATTTGAGTATTAGAAAAAACCACTATTTGGATCTATTTGGGGAGTACCCCCCTAATAAACCACGGTTTATGAAAATCCATAGGAGCAATTTGGATGATTTTGATCCCTCAAAACAGGGAATCATCATCAACTTTTTGGAGGAAACATAAGGAAAACACATCTGAAACAATAACTCGGAGTTTTCTACAGGTCTGAGTGCCAGAGGGTACGGTAAAATTGCCGTGCTTCGCATGAAGGTGATCTCGTGATGTTGAGGGACATGATGAACATGTGTTCCAAGTGGCTTGGAATATCTTTGATTTATGCACAGTGCGCCCCTCCAAACCTAACATGAAACGGACATATGTAAATTTCTTGAAGAAGAAATATCCGCTAACATGTCACTTAGGAGGCAGTGTCATTTGCTGGATCGTGCTTTGGTCGTCACCACTTCTTTTACCCACATGGGGCTGGCTCCGTAAGACATCCCCCAAAAGAGACTTCAAGATCCTGTTCGAGTAAAGACTCGGGTGATGATGATAATGATGACGATGATGATTTTGCTGATGATGCAGCTTTCTTGTAGGTTTGAATGGCAAGGACTGACCGCAAAACCTCAAGTCTTTTCGGCAATGCATCACATTGCGTTCGCCGCCGCAAGGAAAGGGACTTTGGAGGTAGCCTCTCTGGACTCAAAACTTCCAGTGAACTTTTGCCAAACTGAGCAATCTTGAGCGTTTAACACAATGCACTTCATCCTTTTTCATGTAGGAAACAAAGCATGTTTAGGGACTACGAGCCAGTTCGGTTTAGCTCCTGTGGGTTCGAATATTGGGGGACATAATGACATAGTGTAAGAGTTAGGTTCCAGAGTGGGAAACCCTTGGCCCTCCATGGCACAACTGTACAGCGCTGCAATGCTGCAAGCATTTCTTTTCCGGGAAAGTGTCTCGCTCAGAGACTTGCCGGATGATTTTCCACACTAACAGGGCGGATTTCAACACCAGGGCCAATGAAACCACCACATACTACTCAGGGCCCAGCTCATGCACTCATCCGTCACACATCGTTCCAACCCTCAGGCTGGAGAAACCTGGGCTGAAAAACGGGCGCAGAATTTGGTGTTGTATCTGTTCAACCATCCACTTTGGGGAGTGAACAAGTTTGAACCATCTCCACATAGCTCGCAATGTTCCACTTAGTTTCGGATTTGTTCTTTCGTTTTGACCTGTTTTTCCTCGACTTGCAACAAGTGTACTGGAGACCCTTTTTTGGGGTCAAAAAGGGGTTGCCAAGGACACGTGTTGAAATTCAGTTCAAAGTGGACAATTGCCACACATAGCTAAGCTTAGGTACACTGCCACCGAAAAAATATCATCCAATCCTAGGCCCTAGGCATAAACACAAAATGTCCAAGATTCCCAAAGAACTGAGGGATGGTAACTATTATTGGTTTTTCACATTTCCACGGCATTTTCACCATTTTGAATCATAGCCACCTCTGCATTTCTTTGATCTTCCGCATTCCATGGTGCTGGGGCCGCTTCCAAAACCGCTGCGTAGGGTCGCTGCTCCAGCAGCTCTTCCAGGGCAGGTCGGGCGGAAGATCTCTGCAGCGCCTTGGCGACGAAGTTGACGTAGCCATGGACCTGCCTGGTGGAAGGTTTCTGCACAAAAAAGAGGCATTTACGGCACTAGTGTCAACTGGGGAGATGCTTTTTCCTCTGCTAAAAAATGTGTTTGAGGAAAATGAATCAGTTGTTGTAATCATTATCACCACCATCCTCCACATTCTCATCCATTTTCTGTACAAAAAAATGAATAAAATTCACTCGTCCCAGCTGCGAATTTGCTGGGACCACAGGGATGCCATTCGTCAGGTCCAACTCCAGCCACAAGAAACGCTCATGCTCCAACAAAGGCAGCTTTGTGTCCTGCCAGTAGCGCCACATTTCTCGCTGCCGTTCGGTGCCAATGGACCTCGTGGTGAAAAAACGTTGACAGCTACTGGGATCAGAAAGGTAAATCCATATTTTTTTGGAAAACATCTTAAGCATCTAACCTCTGGTCATTTGACATAGCTGTGGAAAATTATCCATAAATGGGTGATTTTCCATAGCCATATGGAGGAGTGATCTGGTTGCGATCCAGTCACGAAATCCGTCGGAAGCTTGAGTGCTTGCCCCCCATCTGGGTGTGGCGCAGCTGTTTGGGTCAACTGGTAGAAGGCTTGCTTGGCACGAGCCACCACGAAGTTCAGGCACGGCCTATTCATATTCCTTGGAATTGTATTAAGGGCCATTTCAAAACATTCCCAATGGATTCCCTCCGTTCCCTTTGTGCAACTTCAAGGTGTTGGTGGTTTCAGCATCTTCGACCCAGTTCAAAAAACATACTTGTGCCCCTTGCCGCTGGAGATCATCTCAACTGTGGCCAACTAGCAGCTTTCCATTTAATTACTCATCATCTATGTCGGTCAATTCCCTGATTTTGTGGTTACGCCGACACGTTTCAATGGTTAAACACACATTAGCCTACTTGCAAATCACAGTTTTAATGCGAAAATCATCTATAAATGGGCCATGACTTCCAGTTTCCAAACAGTCAAATTACATTACAAGGCTACCTGGCTACCTGGCTACCTGAAACCAGGTGGAGATTCTGTATGTCGCTTTCGGGCAAGAGATTCTGCAACGAGATGAGCTGAAAGTTTCCGGGCTCAAATGCCGCAGCCGCCGACCACTGCGCATCGCCACTGGGGTTGACCTCCTCTTCGAACTCTCTCATGGCAGCCTTGGTGCCGTGATCCCCACGGGACTCATCGTTGTGAGGAAAGCGCATGAAGTAAGCCAGCAATATGATGGCCCCCAAAATGGCAAAGTTGACGCACAGAAAACAGGTTAACTAGGCGTTATAGGGGATATAACGATAGTTAATGGGTTTATAAAGCAACTTCTAACTGGGAGAGCCATACCTTGCATACGTAGTTATATATGGCTATAAACCACTGAGGATTCCTGACAACTACGGTGTTTGCCGGTCTTTCTTCGCACCAAGAAAAACTCAGACCCTGAGCCCAACATGGTTAATCATCATGAAATTTCCATGAAACAAATGACAAGAATTGGGGTATGCCCCACTCTTGCACAATCTCATTTTCTGCATGTCGTTGGCTACAGCCCATCATCTCCACACAATATTCCCATTATGGTTGGTAAACGCTTGCCCATGTTTGGGATAAATCCATCCCAAAATCAAGGCTGGAAAAAAATCATGTTCACCATCAAACATCGCCATTCAATTCAACAATAGATCTGTTTGGCTACTATAACTGGGCATGTCCAACAACTGTGGATACCGTAGCCCCAAATTGCAATCTGAGCACCGAAATGATGATAAGCCACGGGATTTTGATGGTTTCACCTCAAATGTTCATAATTGATATGGTTTATGGTCATCCATCCCATAATGGGAATCCAAGTGTAGTGGGGTTATGGTCATCCCGAACTGAAAATGGATTGATGAGCAATTCTTGAAGGATCATCCCACGGATCGTAACTGGTTTGTAACCAGAGTTCTAAGCATATTAGGCATGTGGTTCAAAGAATGTCTCAAACCACCCATGACTGGGAATGGTAACCATGCCACCTATGTAAATGGTGATGGCTGGAGGATGGTAAACATGAAATTGTTTTACCCACATTATCAGATAAGCCATGGGGACTTGAACTTACAGCATCATTAGATGATCAGTTACGTATTCTCCATCAAATGATTCCTCCAGTATAGTCCATTCCCCATAAAATTCCCCATAAAACAAAAAATATCCCCAGTCTTCCCCGTGAAATCTCCATTTTCAATTTTCATGGTTAAAACATGTTAAAATCCATCCAGCAGCTTGAATCCAGTCCTGATCCTTGGCGCGATCAACGGATCCGCCGGGCACGGCCCAAGCGTCGCCGTTTTTCGGGTCGTGTTGGAAGAGCGTCAGGAGCAGCACTCTGTCAGGGCTGGGATGGGGATGCACCAGTGCTAAGCCAACCTGGTGGACATGCGTCAAAAACTGGAAAATCTGAAAGTCAATGGTGATTTTCATGGGGGTTTTCAGCTGAAATTGGGGTTCAAATATGAAAACTACACAAGATGAGGTCAGGTGGAATCTAAACAGACATAATGACAACCATGGATTCGTAAACCTATGGGCTGTATTAGTGTGGAGTATGATTTTTACTAACTTGGAGGAACCTCTAATCAATCAAGATTAACCCGGCGCTGTCAATATTTATTGGGGATCTGATTCATCATCCCAAACGTCCAGAAAAATTGGTCCCAAGGGAACTCCCTGTAATCCTGGGGCTAAAAAAACAAATGGTTTCCTATAAATCTTCCCTTGAATCAAGTCACTAAAGGATTTTGGTTGGTTAAATACATTAAAATATGACTGAAACATACTGAAACCACACACCAGGCCACATAACGGGCAAAGAGCTTGTCACTGTCTGCGTTCAACTGTCTTCTAAAGAATTCCTGATTCACCTGGTGAGTGGGCGCCAGTCCTACACCAAGCCTGGGTCGCACAGAATACCTACGCAGAGCTTAGGTGGTCTAGGTGACAGGCGAGACAAGAGTGACAAGATGCAAAACACAGGAGAAATGTTGAACAACGATTTTCACCTCGCAATGGTTCAGCATTACTCCCAAAGATGGCTAAATCCTATTGGAGTGTGGTGTGCTTCTTCTCTTGATATTCCAGTTATCATTTCTGGGCAATTAAACGCTTAAAATGAAGAAAATATGTTTTTGGTGATGGTGTATCTAAGATTAGTTGTATGGGTATGGGCCTGGGTCAAAATCATTGATTCCTAAGATGGATGGTCAGATCATGTGGCAAACGACATGTCAATGGCCATTCCAGGATCCTAAATTGGAGGTACCTGCCATATATAAGGCCTATATATATATAAGGCCTATGTAAGGGGATATCCCCAGAAAATATGTCCTGAAATATGGTACAGTACCTCCATTTTAGGATGCTGAAATTCCCATTGAACATAACAAAAACAATCTTTTGGGGCTATGAGTTTTTGAAACTCCTCGAATTAAATATTTGGGCAACCCCCCAAAACCCGGATTGATAAATGGGGTGGTCGTCTCCAGATCTTCGGACAAATCCATTTACCAATCTGCACCGCTATGATGTACCCTCTGGTAAACTAACATAGCTATTGCAAATGGCCATTTGGTTGATTTTCCCATGAAAAAAATGGTGATTTTCCATAGTTCTTTTCTTGTTTACCAAAGGGTAAAATGACGCTCCCGAGTTGGCTTGGTGACGGTTTGACTTGGTCCATGTTCAACCCCACATTTTGGGATTTCAATCTTTACTTTCGATGCACATGTCCAACGCGTGGGACATATTTAAATCATTCGATGTTTGGGAAATCCCATGTTGCCAATTATATACATTTAATTACCTTTGGTAAAGTAACATACTTGTGGAAAATTACCACTTTTTATCGGTGAATCCACTATAAATGGGCCATTTTCAATAGCAACCTGTTAGTTCAGCGGAGGGTAAGGGCCAACTATGGCACTGCCATTACCCTATTCCGCACCTGCTCGTTGATGATCAACTCATTTCCTTGCCATTGCGTTCCAAAGAAGTTCACTAACCACTTCTGCTCGCGCTGGCCAATGACTTTGAAATACAAGGGCATCAGAGTGCCCCAGGCCCATTGATCCTTAGTTAGCTTTTTGAACATATCCCTTGCTACAAAAGTTCAAACAGTTGACCACTTGTGGTGGATATGTGGTGCTTGCGGGTGTGCATACAAATCCTTTTCCACCGAAAAACGCTGCAATTCTGCGAGATCTACAAAGTTATATGGAGGTTTCCTAAAATGGGGGTACCCCAAAATCATCCATCAAAATGGATGATTTTGGGGGTACCTGCAGCGGGCACACGGTGGCAGCGAGATTGGGCACCGGACACAACAGCAACGCAAATGCAAGAGCGCACAGCTTTATTTTCACACCAATGGGCACAGCACCTAGATCAGCAGCACATGTCGCAAGACTGAGCGTTTCTATGGAAAGAAAGGGGCCCCCCCTGAGCCAGTATATAATGCAGTCAAGGGCCAGCAGTGATTCTTTTGCATCGACGTGGCACGCCTCACAAGGATCTGGAGTTGTTGCACCAGCATAGAAAGGAAGATCAAGTTTGCCGCCCTGGAGGTAGTTGTCAGTTTGGTTCACTGCTGTTTTGCCTTCTTTTTTGTTCTTCTTGGAGGCTATGAACCGTGGATCATATTTGACAGCCTCCAGCTAGGTTTTGAGGAAGTTCTGGAAGCTAATTCGGCAGTCAGCACGTTTCTTCGTCAGACTGTCACCCAAATCATAGTCACTGGCTACCCAGCGAAGCCTCGCACCAGCACGCTGGAGGTATTCTTGAAGTTGTGTTGCTCAAACCCAAGAGAAGACTTTCGTTGTAGAGCACGGCATAAAATCCACCTTTGCTGTCAGTGCACCCTCAACTTGTGAGGCCATTTCTTCTGCAAATTCCACCTTGTTGGCATCAGGTGGATGGTCAAGGCCAGCACCATGGATCTCACACCAAAGGAGACGTGCACGAAATTTCCAGTCTTCACCTTCAAGAACTGCTTGAACTTCCGCATCATTTAATCCAAGAGCTTTGCGGCGGAGTTTCCAGGTTCGCCAAGCTAAAAGAGACATAGGACAAACTTCACCTTTCAGAGCCTCAGGGCCGCTCATCAAAGTGATGATTCCACCAGTCGAATCACCTTTGTCTCGATTTGCATGAGATTGGTCAGCCATAGTAATGAAGATGTAATGAAGCAAACATCGTGCCAAGTTTTCGCCTTCTTGTGCTTGAAAAAAATTGAGCTCATAGGGTTCACGACGAATCTCGCCAATCACGCGCTGGATTTCCATTGCATAGCTCATCTTACCAAACTTGATAACTTCAGTGAGGAGGAGATTGCATCGAGCAGAGTTGAGGTTGAGTTTGAATCGCAAGCCACTGCAATGCGCCAAAAGCACCTCGGCAAGCAGCAATCTCATCAGAAGTCATCTGTGCATTTTCATTGCGCAATCTGTCCGCAGAGATGTCAAGGCCTGGCAGGGAATCTACATAGTATTGCTGGCTAACGGAGATGACAAGATCGCCGTCAGCATCACGATTCACTTGGGTGTCCGTGCCAGCATTTCGATATGCAGAGCGCTTTGTAGTTCCCCATCGGTAAGCGGAGTCTATTTTGCGGAAAACTTCATTCCATTTTGCATTGTTGGGGTCTCCTGCCCTGTGGAAGTCATCCACATGACCACCCATCATGCCCAATGGTGAACGGCTGTTGGGTCACTGGGTCCACGTCATACCAAACCTAGAAACATCGCTCTCCCAGGGCCCAGTCAAGGTTCGATGCAAGTCAAGCCATGGTCTAATGCTACCATAGATGTTGCGCAGAACCTTCATGATGCCGTTGGTGGCGAGGCCGAGTGCAGACCGAAGTTCGGCTACACCATAAGTCCACAAGTTGGCATCAGCAAACGTAGGAGCCGTCTCGAGAAATGCAGTTGTTAAATCCAAACCTTCAAGTTGCCAAGAATGTAGCAAGGTGAGCAGGCCATTGCTTGCGCCAAACCATGACTAAGTCCATTGGCTAAAAGGTGCGCAGAGGCTGCTTCACACTGGAGTTTTTGAGTTTGGACATCACACGTAGAGCTCTGGTGCGACGTGCAACTTCTTCAGCTTCATGGCGCGCTCGAACAAGGGCCGGCATATAGTACATGCCCTTGCCCTTCCCCAAAAATTTGCCCTTGGGGTAGTTCCCATGTCGTTTGTCAGGACAATCCCTAACTAAATGGTTGCCGCCACAGTTTAATCAACGACCATTGTTGACAGTGTTGGCATGACGAAAGCGTCTATCGCGTTTCAATTGCTGGGTGGTTTTCTGGGCTTCCTCCAAGTGCGCTTGGCTTCAGCTGCAAGTTGCTCGGCTACTTGCTCACTCAGCTTCAAGAGCTTCTTGGAGGTGCTCTGCTTCGTCAGGGGACAAAGCAGCTTGCGCATCCTTAGCAGGAGCGGTTTCATCAGGCTATTCATGTTCATGCCATTCATCATGCCACTGACCATCGTTCCACCATCCATCATCATGTCCCCAATTCCACATCTCATCCCAACCATCATCCCAACCATCAACATGCCATTCATGGCATAGAGCGCAGTTAGAACTTCCATGGCAACTCGGAATGATGATTCGTCGGTGCCTTCGTGGGATGGACAAGCAAAGAGCCGGCATAGGTATACAAAAGCGGTTGCGTGGTTTGCTGCTTCGAACCCACCAAGAAACATAGATATGTGGCTTCCAAGTTGATTTCAAGACTATCTGGTCCTGCCTGTCTTCTCGCCATGGTCAAGAATGGAAATTGATTCACTTGATGGAACTCTGAATCTTTTGAAGAAGCTAGCTGGTTCTCCCTTGTTTCGCAAGACCCTTCCGAACACAGCTGCAATTCTTCAACAGTACTTGGAGTTCAAGAGACAACCTGGTGAGTCAATGGCAAACTTTTTGGTTCGTGAAACCTTGGGTTATGAAGAGTTTTCTGAAGCCTTCAAACGGTTGTGGGAAGAGCAGAGTGGTGTAGATCCTGCTGAAAGAATTTTTTGATTGCCACCTATCTCTGAATGGGACTGGTGGGATGACGACTACGAGTATGGCTATATGGGGGAGCATGGATCCTGCTTCTGGTGATTCGGATCTTCAACATGATCCTGCCGCAGCTCCAGCAGCTGCAGCCTCTCCTGAGCAAGGTGCTGAGGCTTCTGCTAGTGCGGCTCCTGGCTCCTCACCTAGCCATCGACCTCCTGCGGCCTCTGAGCATTCGGCTCCAGGACCTGAATCAGAAGTGGGAAAGCCCAAAATCCCCCAAGATGTTTCGGAAGTTTTTTTGGCAGACTCCTTTATCATGAGTGTCCTACGTGGTTGGCGTTTGTTGAAGGTTGCAAGTCTTACCCCCGAAGGAACCAGAGACATCGTGTCCACCACTCACAAAATAAGCAAGATTTCGACGCCATCAGCCAAGCCTTGCCTGCCCTTTGGGATGAACAGTTGCCTGGTCACCGTTATTCACCACATGCTGGACAGATTGGGCGCCGGACACAACAGCAACGCAAATGCAAGAGCGCACAGCTCTATTTTCACACCAATGGGCACAGCGCACAGATCAGCGGCCCATGTCACAAGGCTGAGCGTTTCTATGGAAAGAAAGGGGCCCCTCCTGAGCCAGTATATAATGTAGTCAAGGGCCAGCAGTGATTCTTTTATATCGACGTGGCAAACCTGACAAGGATCTGGAGTTGTTGCAGTATCACCATTTTAGGAAACCTCCAATTTTCGAAAACAACATGGAAACCAGCCGTTCAACCCAGTATCCCGTGGATGCACATCTTGGGAGGACTCCCTGCACCACGGCTGGTCTGGAATGCGAGTCACCGAGATGACGCCTCCGCGACTGAACTTCATCTTTTCCAACTTGTTCAGATGAACTTCGGTGCAGTCGGCACCAGTGACCACATACCTGTTTTTTCTTTACAACATCATGGGGCATTTTGTTGCACCAAATTGATGGCAAGGGCTCATGGGAATACAAAAGGTTTTGCCACGTTTCAGATATTTTGGGACCGATTTGTCCACATGGGAGGATGCTTGACAAATAATGGTTTCATGCGGAGATAATGGGATACAACTGGGGTAATTAAATGGGTTTGTTGTGGTTTGTTCAAGAATGGAGGGTAGCCGAAAGTTTATGAAGGGTTAACCATGACTTTTTTTAAAAATGAGATTTTGGGGTACCCCATTTCAGACCACTCCGGAGTCAAGTTGAGGTTTGCTGGCGCTCATGGCGGGCTTGTGTGGAACAACTGTGGGAAAACCAGGTGGGTTTGTCCATAAACGTCGGATGACCAGGGGGTGGGTGATGTTACCCCCTGTTTTCAATCAACCTGTGGGTTAAACTCTGTAAAAGAAACATAACATAAAAACCAACTCCGAAACTTGACCGGCCAAAACACACCAGGGGGAAAGAAGAAGGCTTACTCCATGGCCGTGGCTGAAAGTTGTGGAAGTTCTCCTTCTTCTTCAAGGTGTGAAGGTGTCTCACCAATCGTTGCAAGGCGTCTTCGTCATCTTCGTCGCCCGGAAGCCTTTCCTGTCCATTCAGCTCGGAGGCTGGAAAATAATGGGCTGCACGGACGAGCCAAATGAGGTCTTTCCTGAGCATCGACCCAAGCAGGTGGAACCACCAGGGTTGTCACTAAGCCCCCAAGTTACCCCAGCTGGTTAAGCAGCTACTGACACTTTCCTATCATTGCTAGCCTCCTTCCCCATCAAATGGAATAACATATTGAAAACCGAGATCTTTTCACCATTCACAAAGGTCAACCCAGTTTCCGATTGTCTTTCAGAAAGTACTTCGCTTCCTCTAAGAAGATCGCGTATCTTGCCATGGCGTTGAACGTGGAGCTGGAATGGGAGCTGGAGCAAAATGCCTCAAGCTGGGTACCGAAAGATGTTTGAGGCATCGATGGCACATCAGGAGCCAGGATTCCGAAATGCCCTGGGGTAAACTCATTATCCCAACATAAAAAGAGGTGCCCATCAACCAACATCAACCAACTTCTTTTACACCCCCCAATGGCACCATACAATGACCCAAACCCCTGGCCTCAGCTATCTCCTTGGCTTCCTCGCTGCGCTTGGGAGCCTGTCTGGAAGCCAAAAGTGTCGGCAAGGACCTAGGCGATTTGAGGAGAAAATTCGAAGAATTTCTCACCCCTGGTCAGATGGTGATTTGTGGTATCTCGAGTCGAGTCACCGAAGTGCTTGCTCAAGAAGTGGCTATCTCCATGATCCTGAAGTTCCCCATTAACACATCACCTTTTGTGGGCATTTATATGTTACGTATTTTTCATCGGTGTTTGATACCTGAAATGTTTCACCAATGTTGGGACCCCAGGTTTTCCCATGGCATCAGATCCCAATGGCCAGCAGTGGCGAGTTTACCCTCTGGTAAACTAACATAACTATGGAAAATCATCATTTTCAATGGGTAAATCCACTATAAATGGCCATTTTCAATAGCTATGGCCATGTTTGTTTACCAGAGGGTAATTTGGTCTCCGAACTGTGTCTTGTCAGATTGTCGCGTCCTGCCAGCGGGACCGCTAAGTAGTTCTTGTGGGAAGAGTTTATGGGAACTTCGAAGAGGACTCGGGGTTTCAGATGTAAGCGTACCTACAACCGTAGAACATAGTCATCTAGTTGGTGGTATACCTACCCCTCTGAAAAATTATGAAAGTCAGTTGGGATTATAATTCCCTAAATAAAAAATACACACACACACATATATATATATATATATGTCTATATATATATAAATAAACATATATATATATAGTGATGGAAAATAGAACATGTTCCAAATCACCAACCAGTCATACAATATCATATATATATATAATTATATATATTATCCCGATTTATGAGGGTTAACATCCCATGCCAACTTTTTCCAGCCCAACTGCACCCCGTTTTTAGTATCCAGCTTCCCACATGTCTCTGCCAAAGTTGCTATACTCCGAAAACATTGGTTTCCCGATTAAAACATGCAATTCTTGGATGATTTAGGGGGTCCCCATTTTAAGAATTGCCAATGATAATAGAAATTGCAGAGCAAACTTGGCCATAATCTATGAATCACGTCCTGCAAGAAATCTTCACGATTCCATCGCAATTTTTTGAATCTGATCATCTGTATGTCCACAAGTTGTTTTAGAATTCAACACTGACAAACTAACTAAAAACCTACTGATTGTTTTTCTCAACCTAGGATGATAATTACCGATTGTTTTAAAACCTACTATAACCTACTTGTGAGTAATATTACCTTCTGCAATAGGTGACAATCACTGAAATTCCTAACCTTGGTTGTCAGTTGACAAACAGGTGATTTTCATCCATGAATATATATATATATAATCCTACTGTTCCTAGTGGAATTTTCCTTCTCAACTGGACCTGATTGTCACCGATTCCAATGACCTGCCGATGGATGCCGCGCTCTTCTGCACTTTAGGCCTCAAATCGGAAGGCTAATCCATTGACCCTCCACCCAAGACACTAGTTTCAACTGTGGGCACACATAGCTGCCTCAAATCCTCAATAAATATTGGTCAGTTGACATCAATGGAGCATTTGATCATCCAAATTTTGTAAATGGAGGACTGGATCAGCAAAAGCAGCGAGCCTAAAACCATGGAGATGTGTTCTGAAAAAACTGTGGGATTTGGGGAACCAAGTCCCCAACATTTCACGAAGAAAAAGAAGGCTAGACTGACGTCCGACCCTGAGCAATAGATAATTACCATCTGGTTATGACTAACATAGCCATGGAAAATCCCAACCATAAATTGAGGTTTATAGCTGGGAAAATCATCTATTTCTATGGGCCATGGCTTCCATGGCGAACTGTTAGTCATAACCAGCGGGTAGGCGCCATTTTTTTCAGGTTCTGGGTTCCATGAGCCCCAATAGATGGCTTGAGCTGCAGGTATTCGCTGCCAGCATCTGCTATCAAGGTACAAAGTAGTTCGGCCACCCTGACAGATGGGCGGGAACGAACAGCTCAAGGGAACTAAGTTGGTTCAGTTTAGCAAAACTATCCAGCAGTCAACTGTAAACTTGATGATTTGAGTTGGGGAGTGTATTTCCCCACACGTGGAGAAAGAGCAAAACCACGTTCGCCTACCAGCTTACCATTCGCACAGAATTACTCTCTGGCAATCAAACTTGACAATTGAACATCCATCTGCTCGAACCGTGGTTCAGTAGAATGAACATGACACCATGTAGGACTCGCCTCCGAGAAAGAAACGTATCAATGGGAAATCCATGCAAATCCCATTGATGAGCTTTGAAACGTTGGGAAACTCATCGAACTAGAGGTGGATTTTCCAGCCCTTGGAGCCCTCGCACCTCGGCTCGGCTGTGGCTCATCTCACCCTTCTTGGCCACCATCTTTTGCGGAATGAAAGTAATATCACTTGAACAGTTCAAAACACAGTTTGGATGATGATTGTCGGGTGGCATCTTTCGAATGATCCCATTTCTATCAAGGTTAGCCATGGGTTCCACTTCTGAGAAACTGTGGGATGAGTGAAAAATGTGGGCATCCTTGAAAGACTTGTACTTGCTTACCCCAAACACGTAAAAACTACTGTAGTACCTGTGGATTCTCCAAGTGGAACCTTCATTGGGAACAGAAAACATCTTCAGCAAATTCAAGAATATCCGACCTGAACTTCCTACTCAGGTAATGCCAGGCTTTGGGCACACCCTGACAGCCGAAATTTCAGACAGCCTGGTGGTGGGCTGGGTTCCGTAGGGAATTCAATTGTGATTTATGGTCATATTCGTTATATGGGGGTTTCCTAAAATAGGGGGGAACCCAAATCATCTGGTTGGTGGTTGAGCCACCCCTCTGAAAAATATGAAAGTCAGTTGGGATTATTCCCAAGATATGTAAAAATAAAATTCATGTTCAAAACCACCAACCAGATCTATTTTACCCCTAAATCAGCCATGGAAACCATATGCAGCTGATTTTCGTCGAAAAACCAGCTGTATCCCAATGAATCTGAAAACATGCTCGTGCCTTAGCTGCCTTTGCGTGACGAAGGAAGATACGGTAAAAGAAACACAGGAGTAAAAAAGGGATTGCTGAACAAAGAAGACAGAAAAAACAACTAGTGGAGGAAGAACCCATTGATGTTTATTCAACTTCAATAAGCACGCATCACCCAAAAACGCAATCCCAGTCCAAATCGACACCCCCCAAAAAAGAAAAAGGCATCAAGTCGCTCAATACACAGGTGTGACCGTGGAGTCAAATGACGGATGAATATTGCATAGTCACTAGTCAGGTAAACAAGAGCATGGGACCCGCTCAAGGGGCTGCAAAAAAACATAGATTCCCCAGACTGTGGATTTCCCCTTGGAAAAACAGCACGTTGTCTTCAGCAAATCGTAACATAATGGCTTGGTGAACCCTACTGATAGGATCACCATCAGCATCATCATGATCCTTAAAAATCCAGTGCTGACATCAAAATTAATTCAGTTAGCTCTTAAAAGAAAGACTTATCAAAGACTGCCTTCATGTCAACGCAAACCTTCACATTTGAGGCGCCTTTAGTTTTTAAATGTGCTTGGCCCCTGAATTTCTGGAGGAACTCGGGCCACTATCTTTTCCAGCCACAATTTTAAAGGACACACCCATATTGGCATCCATTCATAGATGATTTTCCTATAAACAAATAGAAGTTTCTCAAAATAGGGCTACCTCCAAATTACCCAAATTATTGAAACCAAATGGTTTTTTTCAGGGGATCCTCCATTGTAAGACATCCCCAAGTGGGTATTTCCGCAAGCGCTGACACCGCGATTTTTCGAAACTTGCGCCAAATCTCGGCGCGGTCGTTAATCTTGCACCTGAGGGGATGGAAAACGGCCACCATACAGTGAATAGAAGTGAGTAGATTGTGAACACCAGATATGCTCATGACCATACGTCTGTACAAATGTATGTATTGTATATATGCATACCTATATATACATATATATATATATACATATTTATATGCAAATATATATATATATGTATATTTGTATGTGTGTATACCTAAATGGAAACATGATCGCATAGATGCATTTATCTGCGCATGACTGAGTAATGTAGATGCACATGGATAGGCAAATTAGTAAAACACTAATGTGAACAAAAACATGTAAATAACACAATATACATATATATATACACAATATGATATAATATAACATAATCTAACATAATTTAGTATGATATGATACAATATAACATAATCTAATACAATGTAATATTATATAATATAATGTAATATCAAAAAATCATAAAATAGATTAGAATATAATATAGTATAGTACAAAATAATATGATAGATTATAATGTAATCTAATCTAATCTAATCATATACAGTATACATACATCAATATATGCATATATATATACACATATGACCAACCAAACCCAGCGTGCAAAGGTATCCAAACAAATATGGCCAGGCTATGGTCTATCCATGAAAGTTGTGGCCTAAGAGTATCCCCAAACAAAATGGGCCACCCTTCGATCAAGTTTGTAATCATCATTTTCCCTATGAAAAAAAACAAGTTGGTTTCATATCCCATTTTCGGACACACGGAACGGGGCAAATTCTTGCTGATACCCCATTCTATCCAATATGAAATCCCCATAAAGTGCCCATTACCCTCTGGTAAACTAACATACCTATGGAAAACCACATTTTTTTATGGGTTAAATCAACTATAAATGGGCAATTTTCATTAGTAAACTGTTGGTTTACCAGAGGGTAACATTGCCGACCTTATTGGGTGTAGCCATTGAGTTTTTCGTGCTGAAACCAGTTGACATCATGACCGCCAAATGCTGG